ATATATATATTACTATATAATATATAGTATATAATATATATAATATATGTATTGTAGAATATAGTAAAATATGTATTATATATATTCTATAGTATAGTTCTATATATATTATATATTCTACTATATTCTACCATATATATTATATATAGTATATTATTACTATATACTAGTATATATAATATATGCTATAGTATAGCGTTGATACTATAGAATACAGTTGATACTATAGAATATACATATATATAGTAGAATTCGATTCGAGTAGAAGTTATCGTTAGAATTTATACGCCGAGATTTATTTGTTCACCGTTGTTGAACGTTAAATATTGCAGTAAACGGGCTACGGACTTTTATGCATTCCGACGAAACGAAATCGAAATAGAAATTCATCTAGTTTCGTTCAGTAGTTTCATCTGCTCTAATTTTATTTTATTTAATCATCTGCTAAACGTCGTAATTCATTTACTTCATCTGCCTTGATTCTTCAGTTCATCCGCTCTATAAGTATTGCAATAAATTTCTAACCGCGTTGAGTGGTAAATGCAGAGAAATACACAGTCCAATGGAGAAATTTAGATGTGAAAATTTTTTTATTTCCATCCGACTGTTAGAGATGAAGTAAACTGTATCGATCCGCTCCTCCACGACAAAAGTCCGACTAACAGTGGAAACGTTCAATTACTAGGCGGAGAACCTCCACCTGGATGCAAGCTGACTCTGGGCTATAAGGAGGACGCCCAAGATCTAAGATCGTCGACGGAGGAGCTCGACCTGCAAGATCCCATTCACGAGCAAGATTTGAAAAGAGAGTCAAAGAAGTTGGCCAAGAGACGAAAGGAGGACGGCTCGTTGTCCGATTATAGCGGCAAACAATTGGACAGAGAGAGAAAGGATAGCAATTGCTCGGAAATCGTTCTGTTGAATATCAGTGGAAGAACGTCTAGACTCTCCTCTGTGGGTAGCCAAGGTTCCGGAGCCTCTGGCAAACTTTCCGTTGTCTCTGCCACGTCGTCCAGGTAGATTAACTATTTATTAATTAGTTCATTGTTAATAGTTTGTGTAAATTCTATATTCTGAGGGGCATCCCATAATAAACTAATTCGTTCTAAAATCTTGTTATGTATGTATATACATATCTGTATAATATTCAATATACATATTATATTATTATTGTTAGTATATTATATTATTATTGTTTGTATTTTACACACACACACACAGCCAGAGTATATACTATTTGTATAAGTATTTGGACAATTGATGCAATTCAATTAAGAAATTAATATTACTGTCTAGTATTAATATTACTGTTAGCTTGTACAATAGAAGAATGTTTACTCTTGCCTTGGTCCCAAGTGATTTACTAAATTGAAATTGAAACAGGGAATGTATCTGCATCGGTCAAGATTTATGTTTATATATAATGAACGCTTGATGACTGTGAAATTCATAGAAACTATTGTATTATAACGTGGCTAGAAATTCATATCTTACTAGCTTTAAAATCCCAATATGAAGGAGATGCACTTAAAATAACTTAAGTGTGTTTTTGCAAGATAAATCATCCACTTTCAATTATTCCAATTATCTATTGCTTTTATCAATATTTTTGCCAGCAAATATTTTTGTAAAATCTGTGAAGCATTTAAGATACATATAAGTATTGATTGAAGTATTTTCTAAAATATATATAAATTTATGATACTTATGCATACATACTTCTATTTGAAACATGTGAATGATGTATTGAGATAAAGTCTCTTAGAGAAAATTAAATTGCAGAGTGATTTGAAATATAGTTTATGTAGTTGAAAAGATAAGGATAATAAATACTTAAATACAATATACTTAATGTGTATAATTTATACGTATAAGTATGATTCGTTATAGGACATACCATTGTATCTTTAAAGAAATAATTTTGTTTCGTCGATTTTCGTGTTCTAAACCTGTTGTAATTAATCACCAGGTCGCCAAGTCCGCACAAATGTCTACTGGAAACATCGTTTTGCGGAAGCAAACCTACACTAGCAGACAACTTGATAGAACCGTCGAAGCCGGAGACCGACGACCTGGAGAAGATCCTGCTGAAACGGGAAGCGGACACGACAAAAGCACTGATCCCAGAGAGTATAAAAGTATCGATGGTAGATGGGAACTTGAAGCCAGATCCTCTGGACAAACCTAGAAGACGAGGGCGAGAAGAGAGGAAGGAGATCTTCAAAAGGGAAGTGGAAATCACGAAGAGATTCCTCGAGAAGGTCAACATACAGGTAAGCTAACTCACAGACAGTGGAAATTTATCTCTAGAAATGTTAAATTTAATTTATCCATGTTCAAAATAATCAAAGTAACTGCAGGTATATCGTAGACTGCTTTTAATCTTTATGTGTTATTATTAGATAATTGCCTCATGCCTGATTTTCAGAGATGGCAGCACAATAGATGTTTGCTTTAGTTTCATGTTAGAGGAATTTTCCAGTGTGAAGAGATATATATCAATTGAATGAAACAAATTTGAGCGAATTAATGATCTTAACTTGATAAAATAAGCACAAATACAATTAACTTGATTAAGAAATAAATAAATGTAATATCTGAGTCAATCACTGATATATTATATCATTTCTGATATTATATTATTAGATAATTGCCTCATGCCTGATTTTCAGAGATGGCAGCACAATAGATGTTTGCTTTAGTTTCATGTTAGAGGAATTTTCCAGTGTGAAGAGATATATATCAATTGAATGAAACAAATTTGAGCGAATTAATGATCTTAACTTGATAAAATAAACACAAATACAATTAACTTGATTAAGAAATAAATAAATGTAATATCTGAATCAATCACTGATATATTATATCATTTCTGATATTATATTATCAAATACTGATATCATATTTGTGTGGGTTCAAGGTACCAGTGGTGAAGAAGATAGCAGACCCACAAAGTACAACGACGCAGCAACAATCCTCAAGAAGTCAAGCGCAGGACGTCCAGAAGCCAGTGACTTTGGACCTCAACGACAAGAGGAAAAAAGCGCAGAACTTCAAAGAGATCGTGCAAACCACTCCGACAACGAGTAGCGTAACCGGTAGCCCGAAGCTACCAAGGCATCAGAAAGTCCGTGACCTCGAAGGTTCTCGTACGCCCAGTCCCTCTTCCGTTTCTAGGAAGAGCAGTTTCGCCTCCCTGTTCAAGGTATTTCTGGTGTTTTCACGCTTGCAGTTAACAGTGAATGCTTATCATGTATTTAATATACACGATCTGTCTGAAAAGATACGATCGAACTTTTTGAAAATGAAAGAGGAAAGAAGGCAACCTGTTGCTTCTGTTCTTAGCAGAACTTTGATTGTTATGTTGACCAAACGTTAATGTAAACGATAAAGCCTTATGATATATATACGGTGAGGAGCATAATTGTACCAGTGACGATGAAAAATCGATAAGTTAAACTGATGTAATTGATGTGTAAAAAGATGATATAACGATAGGATAGTGAACATATTGGAAAAAGCTTGGAAAAAATAAAATTCAAGATTCGTTGAAAAGAACACCTTTTCTGGAGAGTGTAATAAATTCTCCAGAGATATACCAAAGAATAGCAATCGATAATGTATGTAATTATAAATAAAATTATAAATAAGAGGATAATAACTCGGGAGATATTGAAATTAACAGAGACATCATTTTGTAGGTTAGCTCTCTCTTTTACATCAAACTCAATTATGCTCTTCATTGTACAGGGTGCAAATGTGGCTATCATAGATGAATTCTACACCTTCGATTTGATGGAAATACATGTGAAAAACCTGCCGCAAAAAATGAATCTTGACCTTGAATTTCAATGCGTGAGTTCTAACAGCGACTTTATGATTTTGGACGCGTGAATGTTATATATTTATATTTCGAATAATGTTGACAATTGGTTTTATTGTTTTGATTATTTAGGCTCATAAATACTACAACCATGATGTATCAAATGTGAAACCTAATCCAGAACCGTAAAGTCGCTGTTAGAACGCACGCGTTGATAATGTTTAAATGATTAGGAAACGTTTTTGCAATTTTTCAAGAGAGCTGTTAGGTTGCGATCTATGGTTTCTTGGGAAGGTTTCACCTTCGTGACGAGTAGAATGCAAAAAAAAAAAAAAGGAATATTCAATCTTAAAATTCGAGGTGAAGATAAATTTTGTAAATCAAAGATGTAGAATTCATTCACGAAACGGACGAACTTTTCTTTCCATCCTTCCAATGATATAACGCGTGATGGCAGTATTCCCTAGAACGAAAGCCCGATTAAAGAAGTTGGGTCGCTTTTTCGGACAGAGCGTGTAACACAGTAGAAGAAAAACCTAGGCTTGTACGCTACGCTTCTCACACACGTCGTCCACACCTGGATTCCTGGCTTTGTCTTTGTAGAAGATCCGCTAGCTTAATCTCGAAGAATCTCGAGCAAAAGACACTGCATGTACTTGACCACCGCGTGTTCAACTTTTAAGGCCCGTACAGACAGCAGTGTGTTGAGCCCAGAATCCCCGTCGCCGAGCACGAAACCACGCCGTAGCCTCACCTCGAAGATCAAGGATACCACGGAGAGTCTGCGAAGCAGATCGAAGTCACGCGAGCGTGTGGCCGCGGACCGAGCGGCGTCCGGCAGCTTGAAAAAGGACTCGAAGAACAAGGGTGTGTTCTCGTCGACGTTGAGCCTGTTTAAGAAACGCGAGAGGAAGAAGAGTTACGACGAGGCGATAGCGGCCTCCTGTGGCACGGAGTTGGACGCGTCCGGCGACCACCCGTCGCTGGAGAGCATCGGCCACGTGGAGTTTCGGTTCAACGCCGAGAAGGACAGCCGCAAGGACGACTCGATCTTCATAAGCCTGCACGCGGACGACAGGAACTACGAGGAGGCACTGCCGTCGGAGAGCGTGTCGATACCCTTGGAAACGCCCACCAAGCTGCTGGATGAGTACGAGTCGGAGCCACGTACCGGGAGCATCGTGACCGAGGTGTCGATCGAGCATTATCCACCGACGTCGAGGATAAAGACAGAGGCTCTGATAGAAACCACGTCGTCGTCGTCGAGGGTGTCGTACTCTCGGGACAGCCAGGTGATACCGCAGAGCGCGTCGAGGGATTCGGAGATCTCGAAGAGCTCCTCGAGAGACTCGAAGCTTTCGAGCAGCCACGGGAGGACCAGCGAGAGCGTCGTGAGACCGTCGTCCTCCGTGGAGAGCAAGCCTCCCGTGGAGCATCGAGTGTCCAGCAGTTCGTCGAAGGACTCGATAGGGAAGAAGGAGGCTATGAAACCGAAACGGAAGAGCAAAGAGCCTGTCGTGCAGCAACAGCCTGTTCACCAATCTCCCGACAGAACGGAAGATCTCGTTGTCTCGAAGCAGCAACAGAAACAGAAACAGGTCGAAGGAACGAGGGAACACGTAGCGCCGGTTAAAGCTGCGGAGAAGAGGCCGGATCTGTTGGACGACGGGATCAAGCCCGCGGACGGGCTGGTGAAGACACCGAGCGTCATCTCCGATCTTGATCGCAACAGTTCAGAGTCGGAGAGGGACTCGGAGATTGAGTTTGTGAGGAACAAGGTTGAGAAACTTGCCGAGGAATTGCCCGACGAAAGGAAGGGGCTGTTTTACGAGGAGAGCTTCGAGGAGGATCTCCCTTACGTGCCGACCACCCTCCCTCTGGAGAAGAGCGTGGCAATGCCGATCCTGCCCGTGAAACAACGACTTCAGGAAGTCAGGTAACTACATATTATTTTCGAAAACGTGCCACTATCCACTACCCACTGCTTCGAGGTTTAGGTTTATTTTTTCTTCTTGTTTTTTGCTGTGTCCTACACAGTGTTGTAACTGCGATGTTGTAACTGCGTTTGTTTGTTCGTCTACAGGATTTGCTCGTTCCAAAGGAATTATTATTATTAGGCTGATGCATATGAAATGTTTACTTGAAATTTAACCAGTCTATTCCTAATACTTGTAATATTTAACTATTTTATCTAATTTAAATTTAACCAGTCTATTCCTTAATAGTAATACTTAACCAAGTCCTAATATTTAACCTAATACTCAACTACTAATATTTAACCTAATACTCAAATAGTCCTAATATTTAACATAATACTTAACTAGTCTTAATATTTAACCTAATACTTAACTAGTCCTAATGTGTATTTAATTTAATACTTAACTAGTCCTAATATTTAACCTAATACTCAAGTAATTCTAATATTTAACCTAATACTTAACTAGTCCTAATATTTAACCTAATACTTAACTAGTCCTAATATTTAACTTAAAAATAACTAGCCCTAATACTTAACCTAATACTTATCTATTAAGTTTCATCCTTTATAGCACATCACATATATTCAGCATCAAGAAAATTTGCACAAGATTCAGAATCTCATTATTGATTGTAGTGGGTCATCAATCAGAAAAAATACTTGTTTGATTTTTTTTATGTGAAGAGAAACGCCTAGTGAAAATTTGTATCAGATATCCTTTGTCTCACCTAGACAATTTTTTCAAGAAGAAATTATTAAAACGACACCTGTAACAGTTTTATTCGAAGAATTTATCAGTTTTAAAATTGTTATAATTCTTATAAATCTACTTGATGTGTTGCGAAGAAGCTACGTATTATTAATGTAAAAAAGAAGAATGTTCCATTCTCAAATTTCAAATAAAATTCGTAGTGTTTTTGTAAATAATAAATGTGCCGATTTTTTTGAACATATGCGTCACTTGAAATAATACTGGTGTTTTGTTGCTTCTGTTAGTAAAATTCGCTAATTAGACTTTTCTTTGCCAAATTGTAAAATAATTGTAATCTTCATATCAAATAATATTAACATCAGTTATATAACATTAGTGTTATATTAATACTATTAATAATATACAAACAATATTAATATTAAATTAATAACA